TGCTCGTCCCTCATGCACAGGTCCGATGAGTCGTGCTCGTCCCTCGTGCACAGGTCCGATGTCTCTTGCTCGTCCCTCGTGCACGGGTCCGATGAGTCGTGTTGTGGGTCTGCAGCAGCAGGTGAAGTCCTAATGGTTCAGTCATTTCAGGTTTTCATTTGGTCTTCCTGTCCTTCTCCACTTCCTGTCCTCCATCTCTTCCATCTGTTCTTCCACAGCAGCAGCTGTCGAGGGGACGAGCCTCGAGGAAATAAACATCTTTGTTTGTTTGTTTGTTTCTCCCTGGTTGTGCAGATGACAACAGAGTCATGTTGCACACACACAGACATACTGTGCTCAAAAAAAGGAAACATGCATGTTTACTCTGACATATTTGACTAAATATTTAATGGGGATGTCAAGAAAGGGCACGTTGCACAGACTGCATCGAGCTGGGGGGGGGGGGGTTCATCTGTGAGCTGTTGATTGATTTCACGAACACTAATTGTTCTTCTTGCTGTGTCCAGTTGCAGAACCAGTAACAGGAAAAGCCTCATCCTGACCAGTACATCCCCCACCCTGCCGAGGCCTCACTCCCCCCTGCCTGGACACATCGGTCAGTCTCACGTATTCTCGACTTTAAACATCATTTCGGTGTCAACAAGCTTTTGTTAAACCTGTAATCAGATGCCTCCTTCCATTGTCTGTAGACGCACAAATAAAAAGTGTTTTAATTAAAGAACACGTTCTGGAGGAGTGGAGGTGGTAAAGCTTTGTGAAGGTTTGTCTCATTCTTCCTGCTCAGGTCTGCAGGTGCATCAGTACAACGGTGTCATAAACAGATATGAATATAAACAACGGAGAGAAGCTAAAACTGGAGAGAGATGATCTCTCCCAGTAACTCCAGTTAAGACTCTGGCAGCAGCATGTTGGATCAACTGAAGACGTTTTAAAGAAGTATTTGGACACCCAGATAATAAACCATTGCAATAGTCCAGTCTAGACGTGACAAATGCATGGACCAGTTTTTCTGCATCATCTTTAGATCACATGTTTCTAATGTTAGTGATATTACGCAGGTGGAGCAGGTTTCACCTTCAGCACGTTGATCTCAAAGACAAATATCCATTTCATTGAATGTTATGGACAATAAAGTTGAATTGATTGATTGATTGATTCAACTCCATCCCATCACAGAGCCTGGGTTTAAATTTGTTTCTCATAAAAGTCTGTATGATCTATTTAGTCTGTCTTCACATCTGTTAGTGGCTTCTCCAAGATAAAGCATTTTTGTTTTCAGACAGCTGCTTATACTTTCCAGACACAAATAAAATGATCAAGCTGGTCATCAACACATGGCTTCATTGAACTTGGAGCAGATGGATCTGAGCTGAGAAGCACAAATTCTGTCGATGTCCTGAAATCAGTGAAAAAACGTGATTTTAATGTGTTTCTGTTTCTCTGGCCTCAGATTATTCTGTGTTAATATCTAGGAACGTAATGTTTCTTCTAAAACAAGACAGAATTTCTTTTCATTGTTACATCAAATAGAGTCAGTCGTGGTTTGATGTGTTGTCTTTGCTCTTGTCTACACCTGTGTTACATTAGGAAGCAGTCCTTTGGACAGTCCCCGCAACTTCTCACCAAGCGGACCGGCTCACTTCTCCTTCGCCTCGTCTCGAAGGTTGGCATTTTGTTTTTATTAAAGCACAAGCTGGTGAATGACCTCTGTTTAAGAATAACAGCAACCGAGAGAAATTATAGATGAAAGTACTTTTACATACACAAACCATGCAAACTACAGGAAGCACTCAGTCAACACAAGAAACCTGTCAACTGTGTGACTGAGACATGACGGAGGCATGACAGAGGCATGGCAGGGGCATGACAGAGGCATGATAGAAGCATGACAGAGACATGACAGAGGCATGATAGAAGCATGACAGAGACATGGCAGAGGCATGATAGAAGCATGACAGAGACATGGCAGAGTCATGACAGAGACGTGACAGAGTCATGACAGAGGCATGATAGAAGCATGACAGAGGCATGACAGCGACAT